AGGTAGGATTCAGGGTGAATGAAAGTTAATCCTTGCTTTCATCACTACTTTCTCTAGCTCATCACCGTGCCTTTTTTTCTTTCCTATGAAGGGCATCACATCCCTCTTCCTTTGTCCGACTGTCCCTCTTTCCCCCTACCAAGGTCCAGGTGGAACTGGAGATTAGGCCGAGATCTAGAGTTTCCTAGAGGACAATGTGGAGTGACTTAGAAAGGAAAACCGGCCTCTGCCTCTTTAATCCAGAATTTGGTGACAAAGGGGACTCAGTCAGGATGGGTGACGTTTCTTAGTGGGAACATACATTTAGCCAGTTTTCATAATGCCTAGAATGTGTATGTCTATTTGCACAAGATCGTCTTTTCCTATTTTCAAGTGGTCAGACATTTTATTTTTGCTCAAAATTATCTGGAGTTTTAGATAAAACTTACAAAATTGTGCTTTTATTAAGTGACTTTTTGAATAAACTCTTTGGTATTCTGGAGCAAATGTATTTATTTATTGGTATGTGCAATGACAAACTTGGTATTTTCCCATGTTGACATTATGTATGTTATAGAATTTGGTGTTTGTCTAAGTATAGAACATATACCAACAAATTAAAACTTGAATTGTTTCAATACTGCTGTGTACTCTTTCTTTGGGTCCCCCCCTTCCCACCCCACCCCCATTGAAGGAGAAAAATCTGTCCGTTTCCTATACCATTCATTCATCTTTTCCTAGGAGTCTGAGGAGCGGGCAGGTAGTGGAGGTAACATGGGAAACAAAACTTGTTTTAAAGCAATGATACGTGGGTCAGATGTAACCCTGTATCTATGCCATTTATGTATAAAGTTGATCAGAACCATGACTAAAAGCTGAGGAGGGTTAAGGAAATGGTGAGGTTCACAGGTAAGTAAATTAGAACCGTTCCCTTCAGGGTTGGCTGTGCCAACCAGAGGAATAGGCTATTGGGGCCTAAGTGTCCCCGAGGCCCTTTAGAAAAGAACAGGGCTGGGAATGGAGGGGAGAGTGGAAAAGACCTGAGTGACAGAAATAACACAAAGATCCAGTTGCTTGATTCTTGTGGTCCTGCTCAGAACCTAACCTAGGTGAGCAAGACTTAAACCTGGGGTTTTTTATTTAATTTCTTGCCTGTAGCAGACCTGAAACCAAGAGGACAAGAAGCTGCAGCTATCAATGGAAGTAGACATGAAAGCTAGCAGTCTGATCCTAAGGGAGGAGGTCAAAACTAAAAATCACTCATAGACTACAGAAGCCCCAAGTGCAGGGCCATTCTTGGCAGTTGGGGAGGTCCTGGGAGGTGTCAATTGTGACACAGTAGCCCTAGAATTGATGTACACAGCAATGTGCTGTTGTTGCAAACAATCTGAGTACCTCCTCTGTAGGGCCTCTCTTTTCAAAATGGTATCTCATTTAATTCTAACAGCCCTGCAAACGTATTTGTCCTAATTCACGTATGAGAAAAATAGTAGTGAAGTTATTAAATGAACTGTGAAAGGGAAGAAATCAGTTTTTATTTTGTATCAGAAAATTGGGAAGGTTGGTATTTAGATTTGTATAAAAATGGTCAAACCAAAATCATATGGGTACTTCATTTATGGGCTTTTCGTAGTATTGCCAGATAGTTGAGGCACTAAATTTTTCTTCAGATTAGAAAGAGTATGAGTCTAGTATTGTAGTAAGTATGGCTTATTACCCCAGATTTAGACTTTTCACAAGAAAAAAAGCATTTCCTACCTGAACTGTGGCCTATCTCCTGTGGGAAAGCACATAATCAGTCCATGAATGAAGAGGCTTTGGTTTGACTTGTGTTTATTTTTTAATGTCAGGTTGAAGACAAGTGTTTTAAATGATCACAGATACAAAGATTATATGTCCGAGATTATAGGCTGGTTTACTCCTACTGCTTTGGCATAATTATTTCTAAGGCTCCCTTTTCCCAGACTATCTCAATTTAAACCATAAATTGTTTAGTTACTCAAACCACAGACAATACAGAAAGAATAGTTCTTACAGATCTTCTCTTCTAGAAGCCAAACAGGCCTCTGCACTTAGCACATACTTCTCTCTCCAGAGCTCATACATACTTCATGAGTTATGAAGCTCATGAGATGCTTTTCCTACCATGACCTAGAAAGGGGAACTGGCTGGAGCACCCACATGATGTGCCAAGCTCATTCAGCTGTTTTCTAGAACAACTATTTGTGCCCGGAAGTGCTCTGCCACAGTGCCAAAAGGTCACTGCTGACCCAGTGTCAGGGAGCTAGCAAATTTGCAAGCCCAGACCAGTTCTGAACTGAAGGCCATAGGAAAGAGCGGAGCAGGCATGGTCCCATGATACTGGTGACCCTGGGCTGTGTGAAGAATTATCTGGTTCTAGAGCATTGGCTCTGCAAGACTAGTACTTTTGGCAGGAAATATTTTCAAATCCTGTTTTTTCTCCCCCTAAAGACTAACATTCAGAATCAACACTATGGGACACTATGCATCCCAGTCTGATTAAAATACCTGAACATAGCACATCCTTTTGTAACCTACTGCTTTTCCCCCCGTTGCTCTTTCTGCAAAGAAGGTCCATTCCCATCCTTGCTCACCTGGAGAAATTCTTAGCATGCTTCAAGGGCCACCTTCTCTGTACAGTATCTTGCATGAACTTTGGCAAAAATGTTTTTCTGTATTCCTTCAATTTGGGTTCATATCTCAATTGTAACCTGAAACCTTAAATAATAAAGAACAGCTTGGGTTCATATCTCAATTGTAACCTGAAACCTTAAATAATAAAGAACAGCTTATCATTTCTTGAGTGGTTATCATGTATGTAATAGAATATTGTTTTGCATGTACTAATAATTCAGTTTTCTTAATAGGAAGCCAGTGTTCAGAAGGGTTAAAGAGCTGACCCAAAGATCCCTAAGCTAGAAGAGCAAGAATGGGATCAGGGTCCACATTTCTTTCTGTAGAATGCTTGACCTGAAGGTCTATACAGCTGTTGTACCTCTCCTAAGTTTTTACTTGTCAAGCTCCCATGTAAAACATTTATTTTTTTGAGGATAGGAATGAAACCTTTCCTTCCAAGTATCTAGTACTCGGCAGTGTCTGTCTGCTAAATGAGTGAGGAGGCTACAAGGAAACCGTTCTTGTATCTCACAAGGGAGTGAGCCACACCCTAAGGCAAAAAAGAACTTTAAGTCTTTGAACCAGGGCCCTAGGACTCTCCTCAAAATCAGCCCTTAATGGTGAGTTATGAATAGTATGGAGAACATTTAGTCAAAACAATAAAGAACACCTACATTATTTTTTTTACCTTTAGCATTACATCTAGATGGTCTTTAGCACATTTTAAACTGCATTTACGATGCAAATAAAATGTTCCATACAAAGACAGCTGGCACTATATGTTCTATAGGAACATTTGCTAATGATATTTCTCAGTAATTCTATTACCCAACAAGAAATGCCTACCTGTAGCTGATACACTGCCTTAATATGATCCTGTATCTTCTAACAGTGGTCTGTATGCTTATATGCATGATTTATACTCTTTCCTGGCATCCTGTTCAAGCCAGGCCAATGTTATGTTACTAAGTTTCAAGATTTTTACAGTTTATCATTAGGAATGTCTTTAGGAGGGAACAGGCTGTTAAACTCAGATTCTGCATGTAAACTGTGAATTCACTCATCCACCTAGAATTCAAGAGAACCATCGTATCTCAATAAGACATGAAACCAAGCACTAGGCTAAGCTTGGTTAAAACCCACCTTGGCCTGATGTACCTCATACTTTGCCCAGCTCTCTCACAAAAAACTTAGCTACTCCAATACAGACTAATGAATTCTTCCCCTGTGCACTGTTTTATGAGTTCTCTCACCTTCCCCGCTGGGCTGGCACTTATATAAAGTTCACTCCTCATTTCTGTTTCAGTTGATATGGTATGAGGACAAATTCTCCAGAGGGCACATTAAGGAACAGTTTCTAGGCATGGTCTCTTTGTAAAGGTAGGGTTCTCTCCCTTGTTACTGGCTCCCTACCCTTCTGAGCAACTCATGGCAGGACTACTATCCTTGGGCAGGTCATTCCGCAGCCTCAAACTTAGCTTTGCAGGAGTGTCTAAATGCTCCATCTAAATAATCCTCTGGCCACTGGAAACCAAAGTGCAAAGGTGCTACCGACTATGGCAGTTTTGTTACACTAACTTTGGCCACCTTATCAGAAAGATTAGCTCCTGGAGAGAGGGATTTAATGACCAGTCTCAACAAGATGGACTGACAAGTGACTGTAACAATGGACTCACACAGCAACTGTGAGGATAGCTTGAGTAGTATTGTTTTGTTGTATGGAGGGTCATTCTGAGTCAGAACTGACTCGATAACGAACAACAGAGCTTGACAACCAGACAAAAAAGTCAGGCCAGCAGGAGTCTCGTGCTACTCTGGATGCTGGAGGCAGTATCAGTGTATCTGGAAAGGCAATAGGTATGAGGAAGAGTCTTCAACTCAGAACAGCCTTACCTTGCTCTGGGTCCATCATCTCCAGAAATAAAATGTTTTCTTTTCCCTAGGGGCCCACTAACCTGCTCAAGGCCCAAAGAATAAGCATCATGGGTTTAGAAATCTTCACTTTTTCAGCTTTATGTCTTCATCATTTGTTAGCTGATAATATTCTGTTAATCCTAACAAAAGAGTTGGACTTTACCCCTGAGTGGTCCCCTCTGTAATTACTACAGACTAAACACTGTTACTCAGTGGATCAGCTTCTCTGGTGAGGGAAAAGCACAAGGACAAGAGTGAAGTTTTGCTGTGTTCATCCTAACTTCTATGGTGTTTTACAGGGTGACAGGTGTGTGAGCACCAGGAAGGAAACATGATATCCTTGGTAATGGCCTGATAGCTATGATATCTGAACATAGAGAATGAAGTACAGAGCACAAGACCAAGGTGAAATCTGAGAGAAAGGTCACCCTGGGACTAGAGTAATGAATACTTCACTAAACTGGCTGTTTTCATTCTAAACTCTGGAGGTTCCGCTTCCTCAGTATGCCCCCGGTAGGTGCTTTATCTGCACTGATGCCCAAGTTTTCATCTCTGAATTCTTGGGACCACTCTTCTTTAGTGGTTTCTTCTTGATCGCTGTAGCCGTCTACACTGAAACCAGCATTCTCTGCCAAGACAGCAGGATCTTCTTCATGGAAACAGCAAGAACACGTTTCTGGCTTTGAGTTGCACAAGGTAACAGAACTATCTTCCTGGGCTCGGGCAGCAGTGGGCAGACAGTCCCAGCCCCGATGTTCTGCTGCTTCTTCTAGCACTTCCATTCTCTCAGCTATTTCTTCAGCAGAGGGCTCTTCTGGGTCAGGGTAATCCACTAGGATTGTTTCTTGCCTCCGCTTGATGCTGTCTGAAAGGTCATAAACTGGGTAAGTCTCTTCAGGGTAACCTAGGGAGAAAAGGAGCAGAGTCTTAGAATGTGTTTTCCAAAAATAAAGTATCAGGCTCAAAAAGAGGATTTTTCAAGCAGCAGCCATCCCATCATAACAAATCCATTCACGAAATCTGAGACAATTCTAACAGTTCTTAAGTTTCACTTGAGCAAGTTCTTAGCAGTATGGCTGATATCCAGTGCTCTTTTGAAATACAAACCAATTCAGATGAAAATCCCTTCTTAAATGTGGGCTCTTAGGGCAGATCACTATGTGCTTCTCAGTACTGATGCAGATTAAACAAACAACATGAGCTTCAGTTTTTTTGTTTTTAAAAAGGCACCAAATACCAGATGGCAAGAGCATAGCTCAAGGCTAATGTTTATAATTTCTATCTAGAACCATTTTAAAATCTTCCCGGGGGTTGGGGTGGAGGGTAGGGGAAGAAAGTGGGGAGGAGGGAAAGGAAAGGAGCAGTAAGCACTTTGGAAAACACACTATGAATGCTTCTACTTATCAAAACAACTGAAATCGTTTTCAAGTGTCAGAAATGGAGAGTACTTTAGCAAGACATGGCCAGGATCCCTAAGGACAAGCACTGCACTTTGAGGAGACAGAATTCTAATTGTTGGCTTCTTCATCTTCAAATAATAGAACAAAAGAAAGTAACAAACTGGTAAACAAAATGAGTAATACTGGTGCTGAATCCCACCTATGATGATGAGAAGAGAGAAACGCTGCCAAATTAAGAAAAGAAAGAAATGTGTGTCAGCCAAGCCACACCTAAATGACAGATGGGCTGCAAGGGAGCTCATATGCCAGTGTTGGCGAAGGACGGTGCTCACGACACAATGCGAAAAGCTGGAGAATTCCAAGTCCATTTGCACATCATGATAATTGGCACACAGAATCCTAACACAAACCACTTTCTGCCTACAAATTATGAAAGGAAGAGGGTCTTTTTTGATGTAGGGAAAGGTTTGGGGAGACATTTTCACAACATTTACTGTTTGGGTTTTAATTCTTTTTCTTACATACAGACTCATTTTAGAAAATACATAAAATAGAAACATATTTTTAAAAAGAAAAAGCAAAACACCCAGAATTCTATCACTGACAATATTTTATTGTTTTCACTCCTGGTCTTTTTTTACCATGTATGAACATGTCTTTGTCTTTTTCTTGCCTCTAGTAAAGAAGAATGTTGTTCATGTTGTCAGCCTGGCTCACTGCGACCTATGCAAAGAGAACAGAACACTCCTGAGTCTAGCACCATCCTCATGTTCATTGCTATGCTTGAGTCCACTGTTGCTGCTGCCCTGTCAATCTCTTTTTCACTGACCTGCTACTAAGCATGCCGCCTCTCCTCAAGAACTGGCTGTTACTGGTAACAGGTCCAAAATATAGTAAGACAAAGTAAAGTCTTACTATCTCCTCTTCAAAGGAGCATTGTGGCTGTACTTCTCCCAAGCCAGATATGTTTGTTCTTGAAGTCCAAGGTTAAGTCAATATTCCTTGCGAACATAATTCAGGGGCATCATTGTCTAGTTATCACAAGCATATGGAACAACTGAAAAGCCCATGACTTAAGTCAGTCACACTTTAGTCTTCAAAGTGACAACTTTGTTTTAGAACAGCTTCATGAGTCTTTGGCAGCAGATTTTCCCAAGGTGATACATCGATTACTTGACTACTGCTTCCATGGGTGTTGATTTACTTCCAAGTAAAATGAAATTTGACAACTTTAGCCTTTTCTATGTTTATTATGATATTGCTTATTGATTGCGTTATGAAGATTTTGGTTTTATTTGTGCTGAAGTGGAATCAAAAGCTCTGGTGGCCTAATGGGTAAGGATTGTGATTCCAACATAAAAAAAGTGGTTTGAATCCAACAGCTGCTCAGAGAGAGGATGGACAGTTGTCTTCTGTGGGATTTACAACCTCGAAAACTCATGGGTGGGTCAGTTATGAGTTGGTTGACTCGATGGCAATGAGTATGAGTGTGTTAGTCTTTGTTCATCAACAGTAAGTGCTTCAAGTCCTCTTCATTTTCAGCAAAGCTGGTTATGCCACCTGCATGGCTCAGATTATTGGGTCTTCTTCCAATCCTAATGCCGCATTTGATTTTCATATAGTCTAGACTTTCCGATTATTTGCTTAACACAGAGACTGAATAATGGTGAAATAACACAACTTTGATGCATACATTTCCTGATTTAAACCATGCAGTTTCCTCTTGTTCTATTCTAATCAATGCCTCTTGGTCTATGTACAGATTCTGGATGAGCACATTTACATGTTCTCCAATGTCATTCTTTATAATTTTAACGATAATTTGTTATGGTCCACACAGAGTTGGTAAAACATAGGTAAACATCTTTCTAGTATTTTCTGCTATCAAAGCAAGATGCATCTGATGTTAGCAATGCCAGCCTTTATTCCATGTCATATTCTCAATCCAGCTTGAATTTCTGGCAGTTCCTTGTTGATATACTGCTATAATAATTTTTTTAGTTACCCTGAAGGTTGATACTGCATATAAAATGTTCTACTTGGATTTTTTTATTCTTTCAACATTTCTATCATGAGCATTTCTCCATGTCATTAGACATTTTTAAAATAGCAAGCACAACAGTCCACTACACAGCTACAACATAATTATATGATTTGTTATTCCTTGTAAGATATTTATGACTTCTGAAGGCCTAGAAGGTAAGAAGTTTCAGTACCAACTCAGAAGCGGGCAGTTTGACTCCATCAGCTGTTCTGAGGGTGAAAGAAGGACATTCCACTTCTGTGTGGTTTACAGGCTTTGACCATCCGCTCGAGGCTCAGCTATAAATTGGTTCTGACTTCACAACAATGACTTTCACTTAAGACATTTAGTGTCCTTCCAATTTTTCCCTACTACAATTAAGATTCTGAATATAAATCCGTATTATTTATTTACTTTTAAAAATTTGTGATTTTAAGAAAAGTTTTATTTACACAAAAGCTGTATTTTCATTCATTCATTCATTCATTCACTGTTGCACATTTTCCTCCCTTGCCCAGTTCACTTTTTAAAAAAATATAAATTCATTCATTGTTGCACAATTTCCGTCCTTCCCCTTCCCGTCCCCCAGTCCTCTTTGCAATGTACCTCTTATTCTAGACTGTTGTCTTACATATAGCAAAGAGATGGAAACAACCAAGTGCTCATCAACAAACAAATGGATAGAAAAACTATGGTATATTCACATAGTGGAATACTATGAAGCACTGAAAAATAATGAACTTGTAATACATTATACAATGTGGGTCACCCTGGAGGATGTTATGCTGAGTGAAATGTCTCAGTCCCAAAAGGCACAACACCACTGTTATGAAGTAGGACTGACATGGGATGTTGGGAGGAGAATAGAAAAAGAGTAGATAGATAATGAACACTTTACTGGAATAGATGAGAGAGAGAACTGTTTAAAAGGAATATATGATTAGGCATTATATGTAAGACAATGGTCCATATTCTTGTCTTTCTCCCATGGAGCCACTGGGGATTTGAAGTGCTAGAGAGGGTCAGCCTTTGGGCTAGCAGTGCCACTCCCTATAGACTATATCACAAAAGTTCCCTACTACTAGAACTAATAACCTAGACCAACAGGCTGTTATGTGAACTGAGCAAGGGAACATCACATGGTGGTAAGCTGGACTCTATGAAGAAGAATGTAGCATCAGGAGGAAGACTCATAAAAACCTTCATTATGCAGATGACACAACCTGGCTTGCTGAAAGTGAAGAGGACTTGAAGCACTTGCTGCAGAAGGTTAAACACTGCAGCCTTTAACACTGATTGCACATCAATGTCAAGAAAACAAAAATTTTCACCACTGGACCCATACACAACATCATGATGTAAAAAAGACTGAAACTCTTAATGACCTTATCTTACTTGGATCTATAAACAATACAGTCGGTATAAGCAATCAGGAGATCAAGAAATGTACTGCATTACGAAAGCTGGAAGTTAGGGACCATTTCTAATTACTGAGGAGCAATGATGCCAGTCTGAAGACTAAGTAGCACCTGATTCAGGCCATAGTTGACTCTTCAGTCACTTGCTGTGCTGAGAGTTGGACAATGAATAAGGATACAGAAGAAAACTGATGCCTTTTAACTATGGTGTTGGAGAAGAATACTGAATATCCGATGGACTGCCAAAAGAACAAACAGTTATGTCTTGGAGAAGGCATATGCATGTTGTTCAAAGTTATTCCTTGGAGAGGGGCATCATGCTTGGGAAGGTGGAGGGACAGTGAAAGAGAGGAAGACTTCTCAACTAGATGGACTGACACTGTGATTGTAGCAATGGACTTGATTGAGTATGTCAGAGATTTTGAGGATGGCATAGGACAGGACAGCTCTGATTTGGAGTCACTGTGAGTTGTACTTGACAGCACCTAACATCATCATCAGAGCAAGAAAGAATGAAAATGTAAACAAAAATACAACCTAAAACTGTATGAACTATGTAGGAAATAGAACCTTCACCAAAGATACAGAGATAGCAAAAACTAAACAGCAAGCACATGAATATAAAAAATGTTTAGTATCACAAGAGTCCAGCACTGAGACGGGGGGGTGGGGGGTGGAGGGGGGTGGATATTGTATACCAATGAAGGAATTTTTCTTTTACTTTTCAAAGAGAGGAGTGAAATGGGGGGAAAGGGTGGGCAGGGAGAAAAGTGGAACAATGAATGAATGGAAATCCAAAATCTCTGTAAATGTTCATTAAATTAATAAAATAAAATTTAAAAAAATGTTTCGTATCATTAATGCTTTGGCACAGGCAAAATTAAAATCACAATTAAGGTGCTGTTTTACACTTAGGAGAATGGCTAAAATGATAAAAGACTAACAGTATCAAATACCAATAGGGATACAGACTAAATGGACTTGTGGAAAAGTGGTAATGGGAAGGCAACATGGCATACAGCACTTTGGAAATCATATTTCTGATACAGTTAAATGTATACTTAATATGTTGTTGAGTGCCATCAAGTCAGAACCAACTCATGGCTGAATCCTGTACCTTTGTGTTAACAGTGCAATTCCTTACCACACTAAGCCACCATGTTGTTGTTGTCAGAGTATGACTCATAGCTACCCCTGTCTGAATCCTGCCCTGTCCTGTTTCCTCATCTCATCTCTGATACACTTGAACCCACTGCTACAGTCAGACTCCTAGATATGTATCCAGGAGAATTATAAACATATGTACAAGGAGTCCTATATAGAAGTACAAAGCAGCTTCAGTCATACTAGTTTAAAATTGGTAACAGCCCAATATTCTTCAATTTGTGAATGGATAAACAAATTATGGTATATCCACACAAAAAAATACTAAGTAAAAACAAAACAAAAATACTACTGATACATGCAACAGCACACCTAAATCTCAAAAACATGATCCTAAATAAATAAGCCAAAAACAAGAGTATATGCAGTATGATACATTTACAGAAACTATAGGAACAGAAAGCAGTAGAGTTATTGCCAAGGGTGGGAGGAATGGATGAGCTTCAAAAGGGAAGGAACTTTTTGAGATTACAGAAATGTTCTATGTCACAATTGCAACATTACTGCACATCTTTGTACACTTGCTAAAATACCTGTGTACTGAACAATTGATAAACATTATATACCTCAAAAAGTAAAGATATGGGAAGAGATGTTGAAGTGAAAGTTTTCTGGTGTCAGCAGTTAATAGAGAAAAGAAAAGATACTGTTTACCTTCCCAGTCTTCCATGTAAGGGGCTTCTTCAGCTTCCTTCTCTGGAGTGGATCTGTCAACAAATTTTCCTTCTTTCATGACCCTGGTGATTTCTCGGAGCTGATGCAACAATCGTTTCTCTTGATCAGAAGTCACAGTCTGTGCTCTGCTTAGAAATATCCATCTAATTAGTAGTAACTACTCCTAGATAATGGCTATAAACATCACTAAGAACCAGACCCCAGAACAGAAGTCAAATAGCAAACGACGATTATTCTAGCCATAACATTTTCAAGGGCCACAGGGAGTTTTACTGCTAATCCAAAGGCTGTGCCTCTTTGAAGGTTCAAATCCACAAGCCACAAATTGGGAGAAAAATGGGCAATTGCCTCCCTTGTGATTTACAGTCTTGGAAATGGCTCAGAAACAGCTATGAGTTGATTCTGACTCAAGAATAATGGCTTTAAGTTTGGTGGTGTTTTTTTTTTAATATATTTGAGAAGTGGTTGACCAAGTTTGCTCCCCAGACTGTCTTAGTCTAGCAGTTCCACTGAAGCTTGCCCACAATGGGTGATGATGCTGGTATTTCAAATGCCAGTGGCAAAGCTTCAAGAACCACAGCACCAAGTCCCCACAGAATAACAAAAGGACGAGCAAGTGGTAGATCTGAGGAAGATTCATTAACAATTCACAATATGCAGGTGATAGAACCTTCCTTGCAGAAAAGAGAAGATATGGAGCATTTACTAATGAAGCTCATAGACTGTAGTGTGCAGTATGGATTATATACCTCAACATAACGAAAACATCCTCACAAATGGACCAATGAAAAACATCGTAATAAATAAGAAATAAAGACTGATGCTGTTATAGAAGCAGTACTGAAAAGAAAAATAATGCTTTACAATGGGTAAGTATGCTTCAAAACCCGTTCAAAAACCAACTGCCATTGAGTTTATTCTGACTTACAGTGACCCTCCATTAAGTTTCCAAGGATCTAAACCCTTGTAGGAAGACACTGCTCATCATTATTTTATGGGGCATGGTGGACTTGAACCATAGACTTTTCTGTTAGCAATACAACATGTTACACCATCATGGATACCAAGGACCTCTTGAAAGCACTTGGGTTAAGATTGTAATTTTGAAGACTAAGTGACAGTATTTTCAGTCATCTCATATGCATGTGAAAGTAAGGCAATGAATAAGGAAAACTGAAAAAGAATTGATAGTTTTTTTAAATTATGGCATCACGGACTGCCTTAAGAACAACAACAAAAAATCTGTCTTGGAAGAAGTACAATCAGAATATTTCTTAGAAAGGAGGACAAAGACCAAAATGGATGTCAGAAGAAACTCTCAAGATTGCACTGGAGCGCAGAGAAGCCAAAGCACAAGGAAGAATTCAAGATACTAAAGAGCTGAACAGAAGATTCCAAAA